ACTTCTGTTTTGTAACTCAAAGTAATCTTTGTCTCATTACTATCCCTCTTATTCATTATACTGCCATCTCTTTATGCAAACACATTAGATAGGTTACTTGCTCTTTCCTTCTGCAACTCAATACATCTGATGAATATCAAATTCTCCAAGCCCACTTTCCTCATTATGTGTCCCAGAAATTTCAACTGAATCTTTTTGATTCTAAGTACAAGTACAAATTTTGTTTCAATTTCCTTAAAACTTCCTCATTGCTTACATATTCTATCTATGGTATTCTCAGAAACCTTCTGTAAAACCACATCACTGTTATTTCCAGTCTGTTCTTCGTTTGTGAGGAAATTTTCCGAAATTCACTCTCATGTAGGAGGACTGATACTACACAGCAGGATAGTACTCTTTTGTTTCTAACAAAATTTTCCTACCTCTTAATACTTTGTTTAACTTTTGCAAGGCATCTTTGCCTATTCTTATGCTCCTGAGAATTTCTGTTTCACTTCTATGGAATTTAAATGTTGCATGTTGGTGTATGATAGATGTGTGCATGTTCACATATAAACAGTTAATGTAGAAGCAACAAAAAATTGTTTTTCTACTATAGACTATTTATTCTTTTATATATATATATATATATATATATATATATATATAATCTGTAAGGAAAAAAGTTCTCAATGTCTCTTGGGTATTTCCATTTTCTTTTTCTGCTTTAGAAGTTAGATTAAATAATGGTCAAGCTGAAGTCAGTTTTGTGTGGATTTGGAACCACCTATGAAAGGTTTTAGTTACTTCATTGATGGATGTTTAGGCATGGTTATAATGGTTGAGCTCAAGTTAGCCTTGTGTGGAGTTGGAACGACCAAAGTAAAGTTTGTGCTTATTTCATCAGTGGAGTTTCAGTAAGACACATCTGAACACTATACATTGGAAAGTGGGAATAGAGTTTCTTTTTCTGGTCTAGAAGTAATTTAGTGTAAGTCATGATAAGTATAATTATATTGGACAACCTCAAGTCAAATGACCAAAGTACAAGTTGTTTTTACTTCAGCTGTCAGTTGACTAAGGAAAGGAGACGTTTCTTATTGGGGATGTCCTCATCCACGTCCTGCTATATCTTGGAGGAAGGGGGAGAAAGTGGAAGAGGAAGGAAATATTTGTCTTTTCATAGAATTTAAACAGTGTCTTCTAACAGATGTTTAGCAAAGCCAAGTGGGGTAATAAAATTTCAAGTTCCTTTACTCTTAGCCTCATGGAAAAAATGTATTTCTTTTTTTTCATTTATTATTATTATTTTATTTATTGATTGATTTTATTTCATTTTCCCACACTTCCAAAGCTCCTTAAGATTTCTGTTTTCACTTTTTTATATTTTGATGTTTTTCATAAATTTCTGATTAATTTTTGGAGAAACCCTTATTTTGAACTAGAGGGTGTCCAGTAAAAAAAAGCAGCAAATTTATTATCATTGTTTTATCTTTCAGGCATAATTGACCTTGAATAAATTTCTTGAATATTCATGACTTTGTAGAATCATTCAACTATCAAATAATCACTTAATTGAATATTCATGACTTTGAAGAATCATTCGACTCTCTCATAATCACTTAATTGAATATTCATGACGTTGAAGAATCATTCAACTCCCACATAATTACTTAACTCTGATTGCTTCTTTTATCATTAATTAATTACTGCTTGATCTTGTGACTCATTATTTAAAGGTTATTTGCAGACATCTTTTGTTCTTTTATGGCTAAACAACTCACTGATTTTGAGCATCAAGTTATCATACTTTTCAAAGAACATCTGACATGAGGTTTAATGAAATGTGCAGAAATTATTCCTGAATTTTTGTCACCAGTTTTCAATGGTTGTCTCACATCTTTCTGAATTTACTGCTTTTTTTACTGGGCACCCTCTAGATAGAAATATCAATGACAGGATTGATATAAAAAAACAATGATATCCAAATGTTGATAACATTGGGTAATCACAGATTTTAATTTCACAATTCTTATACATTTGAATAATTCAGATTGAAACACTGAAATATTAGTGTACAATGTCCATTTTGCAATTAAGTATGTCAAACATATAAACAGGGATTTGAACCTGAAGTATATGTATTATTTACACTATAGGCCAAAAGTTTGAAACCATCCTCTAGATTTCAAGGAAAGCACGAAAAAATTGAAGGTTGCACGCCTTTTTCATGACTAATCTACTAGCTCACTTCAGATGAGAAGGAATTTCTCTTCCTGAAGTGAGTTATCGTATACTCAATAATAATAACAACAAAACTGACCCATTACTGCATAAAGTTTCTTTAAAATTTGAGATCATTTTGCCTAATCTACCTTGCTGCCTAATGGTAATCTTAGGGCTGGAGGTTTTTAATTTTTAGGAAACTTCCCTTTCTAATAAATTGGATGCTATGCATAAATGGTACATAAACATTGTCAAAAGTAATAGTGGTGTCAAAGGAATAACCATCCTTTTGACACACCTTTTTTTTGCAGGCATCAAGGTTAAACATTGCCACATTTTTCATTGCATGTGATTATACTTTTCAAAAATAGATTGTTTTGTTAAATTTGAGCAGATAATCACAGGTGGAAATGCAGACAATTAAAATTTTTCCATTAAATCATGTGGCACTCATACATATTAGCAATTCAGTGTTTTCAAATATCATTAACACACATTATATATATATATATATATATATATATTTTTTTTTCTCCAGAATCAGTGCTCCTGCTATATAGAGATTCTTGATGAAATCCAAAGAAGAGTCAGCAGTATTATTAGTCTTGACCTGGCACCTTGGCTTCAGTCACTTTCTCACTGCTGTAAAGTTACCTTCCTGTGCCTTTTCTATAAATACTTGTAATTGCCCAGATGAGCTCTTTGCTATGGTACCTAGACTTTATGAATTTAAGCGCAGTACTAGATTGGCAACAAGGTCTCATCAATTTATGGTTACATATAGTCAATTCAACTGTAAGTTCTATGCTAACAGTTTCTTTTCTCATTTGTGGAACTCTTATTGGGCTCCATCCTTTCTGTCCAACCTTGATCTTCAAAACTTTCAATGTAATATCAATCATTATCTATTGTCTTCCTGATTACTAAGGAGCAAGAACAATAGAAGAGTAATGTTTTTGTTTTCTAATTCTTTCACATCCAGTAACCCTTTGTGGCTTTGTTACCATGCTTGGAGTAAATTCAGTTAAAAAGATATATATTCTTTTATATTTCTTTTATAGTCAAGTAATTCAAGGGGTGACAACTATGGTTGCCTTCACCATAACTGGCTAGATGTTAACAACAGGACTAAAATAATGAGATGATATACAGATAATGATAATGTTGGCTAATCACAGATTTTCAAGTACACAATTGAAAATTCAGATTTTGTAATAATAACCTTTGAAATTATCACTACTTTGAAATTCAGTCTGTAAAAGATCAAGTGTAAATACTGTTTACCTTTGAAAGCATAAACCAAGAATCTTTTAGATCATGAAGACTACTCATTGTTTTTCTAATGATGCCCTAACCATGAAAACTTTTTTTTAAAACTTCTTATTACTCTTAGGTACCTAATGCAGTAGGGGTGGGATCTTAATAATTGGGATATTCAGAATTTTTTCTCACTATGCAATAAATGGAGGGAGGTCATAATAAGGCAGGGTCAGAAAATTGTTTAATGGTCAATGTAAGGTAGCAGCGAGACGACGTGTATCTGCCAAGTCACTCGTTGCCGTGAATGTCTTGTTTAAGTAGCCCACTCTCGCCTCTCATGTAAGCGGGCGAGTCTACTTCTATGGGGGTGTGACGCCAAGACCATTCCGGTCTTGTAACTGGGCGTCTTAGGTTCGATTCCACCTCTACAGTCAAAAAGTGCAAAATTAACAATTTTTTGAAAAAAAAAAATTTTTAGCTTCTTCTAATCGGGAAATGAAGATCCTCAGTGGGATTCTGGTCACCTACCAAATTTATCTTCTTAATAAGCTCAGGGTGGTGGTCAGAAAATTCCCTCATACACCCCCCTTCCAAATCAATTTTTAGGTACTGAAATGTATCTATTTTTCTAAATAAATAATTGTTGTGGAGTGAATAAGACATCCTTGGCAACACAAATGAACTAGGGAAAATGCCTTAAATAGAGAACTCAAAATGAGTCAGTAGAAGTCCATTGGAGTTAGTTGAGGGAAATTTCTAATGATGTCACGGTGAGTAGCCTAAGCAAGACATAATATTATAAACACCAAGAGTGAGTTATAACAATAATTAATATTAATTAAAAAATTAATATTAATTAAAAAATTAATATTAATTAAAAAATTAATATTAATTAAAAAATTAATATTAATTAAAAAATTAATATTAATATTACCATTAATTAAGTATGGATTTTGGTAGCCACTGGGTTAATATAGATATATCTTCTTTAACTATGTATATCTGAACTATTGTCCTCATCTTTGTTGTATTTTTTCACAATGTTTCAGCCATTGTGCCCTCCAGCCTTCCTCAGGTATATATCGATCTAGGTAACTTACAGGGAATTTCGAACTGAACCCTTTATTTAACATCGCAATCACTATGTCACCAAATTCACAAACTAACACTTTTACCCAATAGGCCATTGTCCCATAGGTCCTAGTAGTTCAATCTCTGGATAGGGCAGTGTGTAGTTGCACTCAGTGGAAATGGTCGACCAATAACTTAACAGTACTAAATAAAAATAAGACCTAGACAATATCCCCACACATGAGTGATGGAATCAAAACAGTCTACCCCCGTAGATTAAATAAAGTGTTCAGTTTGGAATTCGCTGTAGTTTTTAGTGATACAAGTCTTACTAATTAACCCATAACTGGGGGACAAGAAGGGGATTCATACCTTTCACATCAATATTTGTGCATAAGTGAATATAACAAACCCAACTGGAATTGGAATTTGGTTTTCCAATTAACAATTCGGAGCTATTATTGCTTACAACACCTGATACTCCCAAGTGGTCACCCATCTAGATACTGACCAGACTTGATGTTGCTTAACTTTGGTAATCATACAGGAACCAGTGTTTCAATGTGATGTGGTCGTAAGCTGTCTTGTAGATAAACAAACTGATTAAGTAAATAAATTTAAATAAAAATGTATATATTTGTGTGTATAATAGTGTATATATGTATATATTTGTGTGTATAATAGTGTATATATGTATATATTTGTTGTATAATAGTGCTATTGATAGTGTTTGCTTTTCTTTTTTCTCAAAATTATTAAACATGTCCTCATTGGGATTTAGATGGCAACCTTCACTCAGCATTCAAGTAATCCAGATGAGTTAGTGCCCTTAGTACATTAGAGAAGTTGTCAAGACCTGAGAAAGGGTTTGAACAAGGCATGCCATGGCACACACTAATGGGAAGCAAAAGATATTCCTGAATACTAGCCCATGACCTCACCTTAACTTAAAGGTAGTACTCTTCTAGGGTACAACCATCACATATTTATAAGTATTAGGTTGGTGCAAAAATAATGACGTAAGAATGTCGTTTTTTAATGTTAAAAAATATGTCAAAAAATGACATTATTACGTCATTATTTTTGCTCCAACCTAATATTATATTTGTGTCATGTTTTATTGTCTTTTACATTGTTACTTTTAATTACATCAAGGAGCTCCTAAGAATATAGATACAGCCTTTTTATACAATGATCTGAATGAATCTTTGTCTAAGAATTATTTCAACCTGACAAAAGTGTTCAATACAGCAAGCAAGTCAAGCCTATGGATAATCTTTTACAAGAAGAAAAAAAATGGTTTCTTGTCATGATTATCCAACCCCATGAGGTGCAGCTTGGGAAAGTCAAGAGCTGTTCAGCATTTTCTTCCATCTGTCACAGTCATGTATCAGAGCCGAGGTCTCTGCAAATAGTTTCTTGGTGTACTCATCATGTGGCCCTTCCCTCTACAGGCTAAACCACAATTGTTGCCCTCCAATTTGGTGGCTTGCGTTGGTCATGAACACATGGTCATTTTAGTTCATCTGAGGAACTCTTCAGCCCTAGCCAGTGACCTGTTCTTCATCAAGTGATACTGTGCTCACCAGCTGAAATGGTTTTACTGGGGCATAGAAACTTGGATCCATCATGTGAGATATTTAGATGGTTAAAATATATATATATATATATATATATATATATATATGGATGATATATATATATATATATATATATATATATATATATATATGGATGACTATATATATATGGATGGATGACTATATATATATATATATATGGATATATATATATATATATATATATGGATGGATGACTATATATATATATATATGGATGGATGACTATATATATATATATATATATATATATGGATGACTGGATATATATATATATATATATGGATGGATATATATATATATATATATATATATATATATATATATGGATGGATGACTATATATATATATATATATATATATAGTCATCCACAGACAGACTGTTTCATTGTATCACAGCTCATCAGTGTGCCTAGACATCTGATCACTTCAAGCCTAGACAGACCTGACGGATTTGGCATCAGCTGAAGATTCTAACTCCTAGGCTATCACCGCCTAGCAGAGAGGTGAATTTTTATGTATTTATTTTTTCATAAACACACCAATAACCTAGAGGACTCAATCCATTGGAAGAGTCTTTCATTATGCAATGCATTACTATATATATATATATATATATATATATATATATATACACACACATTGCATATCATAATATATATGAATATAAACCATAATTAGATCTGACATGCCTTAGACCTCCTGTTCAAACAAAGCCTGATCAAGAGGTTCTACCTCACTGTGTTGGTCTAAGGTACATCAGATCCAATGATGATTTCCCCTAGCGTTGCAAGTTCAAATCCTGCTGGAGGACACATAATTTCCTAACAAGATTTCTTCAAATATTCAGGCCGGTAGATGTAAATAAATAAATATACTGTTTAATAAATAAATAAATTCTGAGCACCTAGTCAATTATGAGTATCCATTTAAAATAACATTTAAACAAATAAATTAAAAATATGTTGGATTTAATCAATTTTCTTATATATATATTGAATGTGTAAGTTTAAAAAATTCCCATTTGAAAAAATAGGATTCATTTTATTTTCCACATGATCAATCTGACTCCTCTTCAACTGTTTCTTCACATTTCCAAGGTTACCATGATCTTTACATATGTTTTTACCACAAGTATTAAAGACAATTTACTTCATGGCCTCATGCTTGTAATTTACACAAATATTATGACTAAATCAAGAAACTCCTTGTAGTTACTTGACAAAGGTATTCAGAAAATGACATGACCAATCATGTAAATTGGACTTGCCTTCTGATAAATATTGAAGAAAAACATTTTGTGGAGGTCTACAAATGCCTCACAGTACTAACCAGGGATTAAATCAGGCAACAGAGTTGATGAATGACAAGTGATATTTCAACAGCAACATATTCAGTCTAAAGCAACTTCAGACCTACACTAAGAGCTTGGTGGACCTTATTGAAGAACTTGTGTTCACAGATGATGCGACTCTGTCAATTTCTGAGTGAGTGACCAGTTATGATGTGTCAGTACTGCAAAGTAGTCAATGAAATTTGAAATAACAATTAAGTGATTACTTATGCTAATTGCATTAAGCATTCTGATTGGTCAAATGAATTGCCCATTTGAAATTGATACTATTGTTATAAATAACACATTCAAATGAAGTAAACTACACCTACCTATTTAAATAAATTTACATATGGCTTGCATATATTATGCGTGTAAGAATTCTACAAATTGGATGTCGACGACTACAACAACTTAATTAAAAAAAACTTAACCAGGACTTATAAAAAAGCTTGCAACAACAACATTAATATGGTTGATAGCATAAACAAAACTAGTAAAAAAATAACTGATAAATTAAAAATCAGCGATAGAGTAGGTAAACTTACTGAAAAAGAATGTTATATAACTCTTAAGGATCATAAGCCTGACTTTTTAGAACACCCTGCGACCAGAATAATTAACCCGACCCGACCCGACCCGACATAGGAAAGATCAGCAAAAGGATCCTGGAAAAAATTACCTGCCAAATAAAAAAACAACTGGAATTAAAATTATGGATCAACACTAAAGATGTTATCAATTGGTTTAACTATATTGATGATAAACGGAATTGCACCCTTATACAGTTCGATATCGTGGACTACTACCCATCAATTTCAAAGGATTTATTTATGACTGCCCTGGACTTTGTTAGGTAAGAATACACAGCAGCAAAGGATGAAACGGATATAATCCTCAGCGCAAAGAAATCGGTCCTCGTTCACAATGGGGACCAATGGATAAAAAACAATAACTACCTGTTTGACATCACTATGGGATCGTTAGACTCTGCAGAGTCTTCTGACCTTGTTGGTCTCCTAATACTGTATAATTTAACGGCACACCGCGAAATTGATGTTAAGGACATCGGGCTGTATAGAGATGACGGGCTCATGGTGGTGAGGAGTTCTACTAGTTTTAAGATTGAAAAAAAAAAATCAGAAAAATTATATTTAGTGAATTTAAGAAACTAAACTTAAAGATAACTGTCTCTTCTAATTTGAAAAGGGTTAACTTCCTCGACGTGACTCTAGACTTACCAGGCAACACATACCAACCTTATAGAAAACCAAATGCTAACCCTTTATACATACACCCGAAGTCAAACTATCCTCCATCAATAATTAAACATATACCCTCATCAATAGAAAATAGAATTAGCATTAACTCCGCAAACAGGGAAATATTCCAACAACACAATAGCTTCTATAACACTGCCCTAAAAATAGTGGTTATAAAAATGCTAACATTAACTACAGAGAAAAATTACACTGGACATAGGAAAAAAAACAGGAAAAGAAATATCATTTGGCACCCCTCCGTTCAACCAAAGGGTTAGTATTAAACTAGGACAGAAATTCTTAGCTCTAATTAATAAACACTTTCCCACCAATAGTAAGCTTAGTAATATATTCAATAAGAACACCCTAAAATTGAGCTACAGCTGCTCTGATAATCTTGAACGCATAAAAAAAAACACAATAATAAGATCTTGAACAAACCCCATGCCAAAACAGTATTAATAAAAACTCTGCACTTAAATTAGACGATAAAAGGGAAAAACTATGTAACTGTAGAAACCCAGAAGACTGCCCATTAGAAAATAAATGTTGTATTAATTCTGTGGTATACCAATGTACTATTTCATCCACAGAGAGCCCTAGCACTAATATGATATACATTGGGTCCACGAAGAATAATTTTAAAGATAGATGGAGGCAGCATAAGTGCTCCTTTAATAATATAAACAAAAGAAACCAGACTTCACTATCAAAATATTTTTTTGGCACCTGAAGGAAACAAATAGGACACCAAAAGTTAAATGGAAAATCATTGACAAAGGCTAGAACATGTAAAAGCTTGGGATGACCCATGCCCTTTGTGCCTCCATGAAAAATTGCACATTATTAAACTTCTAAATAATAATAATCTATTAAATAATAGACACGAGTTAACGGTTTTTTGTAGGCATCATCAGATTTTTGGTTTGAATTATTAGATAAAAAAAATTTATATAACTTGTTTAACAAATAGCCCAATCATCAGTTTCATAGTAGGAATAATTAACTACAAACATGCATACAACATAACACACTTCATAATCCATAGCCTGAATTAGTAGTTTAAATACCTTACATATAAGATAACCCTTTATGAAGTCGTCAAAAACAAATGTTACGAAAGGTTTTTCTTTTTTATATGCACAATTCCCTTTCATAATAAAATAAAATAAAATAAATAAATAAATCTCCATAGACAAGCAAACTAGACGATGGCCAATACATCTTCCGTTTCATTTTTGACACCCCCACCTTTCCCCGACTTGACACCCTGAAAAGTATCTCTATACCGCTACTTATTATAAACACCCTACACTCGCCTACCCTATTTAGACAATTCACCATAGCTGTTACCATGGGGATTT